TCTTGGGAAACGCCCCTTGTCGTCACAAAGCGTTCCGGTTATCCATCTTGGTTATCCAGGTATTCCGCACATTTTGGAGTTCTTCAACCAACATGTCCTTCGTGCAGATTCTCCTAGCTCTATTAGCCAAACAGAGTATGAGATTCTTCTCCATATTGAGGTGTACAAAGCTACGAAAAGGAATGTGCTGACCATTCCAAGTCGGCTTCCTTTGTACTGACCGCCTGATGGATCCATCACCACAGTGAGTTAAGCAGACAGACAATTATACTAGTTGATTGTTTGCTTCATTTTCAATCGTGGATTTCAAATCCCGATGCGCAGCACTAAAGTGATCTAGTATATGTTGGCACTCCGTTGTAGAATCAACCACGCATAAAATATCGTTTACGTAACGCTTATACAGTACGCATTGTTCGATATGTGTTTAAAATGGACCGCTTTCTATTTTAAACATGGGCCTTAGCGGGGATCCCATTGCTACACCGTCCTTCTGGCGATAGATTTCCTCATTGAACTTGAATTGTATATTGTGAGTTTAGAAGAATAAAAATTCTTTTAGGTCATCTGTCCGTAGGTCCACGTCAATCCCGTTACTCTCGATATAGGTACACGTACTTTTCCCCTGTAAATCCTTCTCTGTTACTAGTCATATTTATTGTGTTGTAATGGCATGATTAAGACACACTGAAAACGAGCTTTTTTGCCAATTTGTGTTTTGATTATGAGCTACGTGGCACTGTTTAAATGTTTGAAATGGTTATAATAATAGAAAAAGTACTTCGTTGTGCGGTTTATCGCACCTAGGAAATGTATGTACTCAATTAAATCATATTTTGTTCTGTATGGGCTGTGCAGGATTTGAAACTTGAACCATACTCTATGTTGAATCTGGTATTTGAGATTGGTGTTTTCCTCTTTTTTTAATTATTTGCCGTCTTTTTCTGAACTGCAATACAACGACTTCACCTAGAATTAAAAAATTGATAATTCCGAGTGAATTAACAACATGCACATTGTTTCACTTCCTTTGGAATTGCAAACTGTCCCCTCACTGATACACGTTGGTACTGCGCAGAAAATTGAATAATGAATTCTTTACCGTCGTGCGTGTTCATGTTAGTGGTGTGCATGAATGGCCCTAACTCATTTGTGTATCAGACGGTCGCGAGCTCGAATCCGATCAGTGCAAACGGGATTCAATTCTGATGCTTAAATTCGCACAGTGATGTTATCTGATGAACGTACCTAGCCAGGGATAAATATCTGGGACAATTGTTACCCAGATCAGATTAACATCCGCATAATGCCACTCAGTTGGAATCAGTTACGTCCATTGATTATTCTTTTATCGTTGATTGCGATAAAACCAGAACGGGTATTCGCCTTGTTCATTTGAATGCAGATTAAGTAAGGGATTCTGTCAGATTATGCGTTCATATGTTATAATATTATTATATTATAATAAGGTGGAAACTTACGATGACATACGAAGACAGTATCAATGATTCAAAATAAGAATTCCAATGTGGAGTGTGGATGGACACTGTTATCTGAACAGAGGTCATAGGTGAACATGTTTCGGTGAATTCCTCCTCCAGCCATTACAATTACATTTATGTACGAAAATAGGGGGAGGGTGTTGTGTTGGGGTCAACAGTCGTGGTCAAATAAGGATAGTAAATGGGTGGGACAGGTAAACGTTTGTCTCTGTAGTTCTCTTGTTCAGATAAGAACGGATTACGTAGACATTGGGCCATCACAATGCTCAGGCGGGATATTGCCCAGTTTGGGACAGGAAAGTTTAAGTGCCTGAACAAGCGTTTCTTTTTGAGCACACAATTCAGGCTTTAACAAGCGACTGATAATCGCCTCAGCTGTTGCTAGCGTTTTAATTTGAATAGCCTTGGATTTGTGTTGTGGGACGTGATAACGGATGATAAAAGCGGAATAGGTATCCACCCTATGTCCAGTTTCAACCAACAACTCCGATTCCTCTGAGTCTAAGCCACACAGGTTGATGTTCATTTACATCTCGTCGTACGACGTATGTAAGTGACAACACAGGTGCACTTGAATTGGTAGATGAGCATTGATTAGGTGAACATAGGCAACTTATCGTTGTTCTGACTTCAGATGACGGGTGATGTCGAGGACACATCTCAGTTTGGTAGCGCTGAATGTTGTTCTAACTGCGGTACTCAGGACGGTAATAGCCCCTTCAGCTGCTGCGTCAACCGTGAATGGAAGATATCTGTTGACTGGACTGGTAATATACCCCGATCACTATTAAAACTGGAGTTCCTCAAATAAGCGTTAATAGAAAGCATATGTATACGGATAATAGAGAAATGTCTACCAATAACAACTGATAGAAAATCACAGTTCATTATCCAACACAATGAGAACAAAATGATTTATCCATATAGAAAGCAGATGAAACAAATTCACGATTGGGTACTTTTTAGTAAAGTTCTTTTCATTAGCAAGTTTGCTTAGCGGTATCTCATAACAAAACCCCAAAAAGAGCAAGCTTTAGACTGTCTCCACATATAGATCTCTAATTATTTATCTGTGACCGGTACAACTGAAACTCTCTAATGCATTGTGATCCACTTTGCATGACATGGAAAAGGTCCGAATGGCTTTTGATCAAACGGAATCAATGGGCTCCACTCGATCACGTACTAGTAGAAAATGCTGAGTTCAAACAAATAAAATGAACCCGAAAATAGAAAGAACAAAATTTTCAATATTTCAGTTACGAACAATAAAATTTTTAGAAATACATTTTGCATAATGTGACTGGGGCACGCTGATGAATACAAACAGAAGACGACTGTTCGCCCTAATCATCACTTGGGTGCCGACAATAAAACTAATATGCGGAAATAGTCATGCAGTAATAATAGTACAAGAATTGTGGAATACCATGACAAAGAATTAGCGTCAACTGTGGTGAAGAGTATCACATTTGGAAAAGGTCACAGGAGTAGTAGTTCGTTTTATTGAAAGAATGGGGATTGAGTAATATGTACAAGACAAACTCATTGGTCATCCAGGCGTCTGCCAATCGCATTCTAGCAGTTCTTCCGTTGTTCTGCTTCTGTCTGGGCCGCACGGGCTCTCATTGACTGGTACGATCGACCAGAAGCAGTCCAGAAGCAGTGAAACGTACGCACTTTGCTGACGTCGTCTGTGAAGTTTGATTGATCACAGTTGTCCTAAAACTGTAACGCGTCGCTCCAGGGTATGCGTCGTCTCAAAGACCGGGATCGGCACACACACACACACGAATCGCAGAATCCAATTCACTAAAGGTATTTTAGCATATCAAACCGATTCCTGTTGAATTACTTGGGTTCAAAACCTTATCAACAATACAAGTAATTAATAAACGGTGTTGTAGACCCACAACTTATTCACAATCGACTTGGCTCATAAACTTTCATAAACTGATAAAAGTGCACTGTCTGTTTTGTTAAACAATAATCAACCAATAACCGGGACACTGGTGTGAGTTATTGGTATATCTTCACTCTTCCATCAGACTTCGAAATCTGCGTTGTAGGCAACGTTATATGAGTCTGATATGACACAAAAGTTCGACCATATTAAAATTTAAGGTCTGAGAAACGCGTTGTGTGTATTATGACGTTTGGTATTATGGTTTTAAGCAGGCCGTGGTTAGAAGGAAACAGAAAATTCTTAGATTGTGCGAGGTGGTGACTATAGTATTACAGAACGTCAATTCCTAGCGTGCTCGATTGAAACAAATGGCGTGGAGATAGTAGAATCTCGAGTTTAACGTGACTGATCATGTATATTGTCAAGCCTATTTCGTTTACATCTTTAAAATTGATTCAATCTCCCGGGATTTGAGATTTAGATTCTCATGCGTAAGCGCTATTATTTTTTTGCTTCATGTGTATTCACGCGCTCCCGAAACTCATCCGTTTTTCAAACATCAGTTTATTTTTTATCGTTTTTATGCATCCTCATGCTCTGTTTTACTAAAATAACCTGATGTCAAGTAGTTTCAAACAAAATAGTTCTGGGTGCAAAGAAGCACAAATAGATGATTGAGTGAACTGAATCATCTGAATGCGAAACACCCAGACGCATTATCGGATGAGCTTAAATAAACGGGTTCTGAAAATAAAAATACTATTAAAGTTCACTACTATACCTTTTTCAGTTTAAGATATCCGAATATCAATTTAAGATGTCACAATATGAATTTAAGATGTCTGAATGGTAGTTCATTTATTGGAAGAAATGAGGGCGATTAAATAATATGTACAAAAGAAGATCATTGGCCCTCTAGGCTTCCACCAATCGTTTTACAGTATTGCTTGCATAATTCTGCTTCTGTCTGAACTGTTACGGATACTGTTCAGCCAAGTTTTTAACTCCGCGGGGCAGAATTGCGATCCTTTGTCAGTTACCAACACTTGCGGGACGCCTTCTCGACTGAAACACTTTCGTAGTACTCTCATCACGAACGACGTAGTTAGTGTGCTGGTTAGGAACACTTCAGGCCCTTTTGAGTACGAATTGATGAGTACTAGTACGAGGCTATGATCAAGAAATGGCCCACAGAAGTCGGCATGCACGCGTTGCCAAAGAATGATTAACTCCGTATAAGAGAAAAAACCATTACTGGGAAATGCATATTTATTTTATAAGTCGTTCAATACATTTTGCATTCTTCTACTTGCATAGAAAAATGGTAAATATCACCTTCAGAATAGTAGCAGTTGAAATACGTTCGTACTACGCAACAATACTCTATTTTAGCTCCTTGATCCTTCTCTGTTTCCGGGAATAAACGGTTTGATTTTGATACACTCCCAGAAAGAAATTCAAGGGAAATAGATCAGGTGGTCTTAGATGCCATTCCTTAAATACTAGACAACAGAAAAAGGAAGAGTAAAAACGTTTATTATAATGGAAATGATCATGAATCTTCCAGCTGGATGACTTTCGGGTACAAATCCATGACGTCTGCCACGAGATTTTGCCACATACTGGTGTCACAAGTACCTCCGTTCCACGACAGACTTCTAGGCATTGCATGCGACATTCGTGTATCGGCATCAAGCCAGAAGGGTCACCCGTAAGTAATACGCTGTNAAGCCGATGGAGCCTGTCGGTGTATTCTGGTTCCATGAATACTACATCCAAACCTGTATGACATGACGTGTTATCGCATACGACGACAGTGTTTATCCTCTGGTTGTCGGTAAGATTGTCCCGAACGCCATGCAACCAAGCGTGATAGGTTTCCTTGGTAGAGGACCCACGTTTCAGTGTATAATTTATCATGCCATGTTCTGACATGGCCCCAAGAATATGGAGATTTAGTCCCCTGCTGCTTGCATGAACGCGGCGAGATTTCCCTCCTCGTAGTGTTCGACCACGTATTTTAGTGCAGAGGTTAAAAATTGCTTAGCATTTGTATGCTGACTTTCTTTCATCGATCGATACAATGTTTTTCCTTCATTAATACATAGCTGTATTTGCTGACAGAACGAGCTCCTTCGCATTTTTTTCATCAGAATTCATAGTCTCCGAGAAGAGATATATTTTCTTCATTGGGACCAGTCGACCATCAAAATAATTGCTGACTGTGGTGCAGCAGACCTCTTCCGTATTCTGCATTTAGCCTCAGTCGCAACGTCTCCAAAGAATCTGTACAGTCCTCCCTGACCCATTCAGGCAACTGATTTATTTCTTCTTCCCATAAACTCTTCCTCTTGTATCCTCCATGTCACCCGTTTATACTATTATGTTGTTCATCGAATATTTAGCGGTTAACTGTTCGTATATGCACATCCAGAACAGCGGCGGTGGTTTGCCTATCGTAATCATTTGCATAAGCCACCAAAACAAGGCGCTTTGTCTCTTCAGCGTCAGGCTATCTCGATGTACGGCTAACCCTTGTAATGCAATCGGAGCTGTAGAACATGTTAAATATCGCCCGAATCAAAGAACCCAGCGTTTTATTAAATGCGGTCAAGGTCAGACACAAGAATCTTCCGTGTCTATCAGTCAAACGTGTGACGGAAGGTGGTACAAAGAGAGCCCCAGCCAGCGAACGAATCAAAAATGGGGCTCATACAACCGGACGCGCAGACGTAACGGCTGAAAGTACTTCGCGGGACAATGTTGACTGTCACCCGAAACGAACGGANATTGCTCAAAAGACAATCCTCAGATAGCCAGAAAGATATCCACCGAATGCCACAACGTCGGAGCTGTCGATCAACGTATCTCGCACCGCGATCGAGCCAAACCAGTCGGAACGGCAAGCAGAAGAAGAGGCGATGTACGTGTCAAGTGCGGACGAAAACCAACAGGGATTGACCAACAGAAAGAGGCATAAATCATCCTGCCGCGCGGTTAAGTATTGAATGTATGTAATTGAGCGCTTATACCGGTTGTTTTTGAATTGGATCAATGCACGTTTTGCCAGCCAACTCGCCTTCTCGCTAAAATCTGACTCATACGTAAACGTACTCGCCACTCCGCCCACACACGAATATCCCAACCTCGAAACAGATTGTCGTACCCCCTTTCCATGGGATATGGTGTCAGTCATGCAGATTTTGCACAATACAACATAGATGCTGTCCCAGTTGTTGCGCGATCGAGCCTAATTCAAGGTCTCTTTTAATGGTGTGCTGAAGGTTGCAAACGTTCAACTCTCATTTCATGTCGTCCACTACTACCCCTTTTGTACCAAGGCACTTCATTCATGAGACCATGAACGTTAGTGGTGAGCAGTGTTCAGTCAATTGCTTGTCTGCTTGCAAGTGAGAGATGTGGTAATCATGGGAGAGATCCTATCAAATCGTAAAGCGTTCCTTTTTGTTTCGTATTCAAACAAGCCGTCGTCGGTCTGCACATGGTAGTATAGCTCTGACTGAATTGTAGGTTGCATTGTTCAGTCTGTGTGAGCAAACAAACAGACAAGATCATCGTCGGTGCATATTTTTGTTGAGCGTAGGACGATATTTTCGGGGTCTATGGATCAATATGCAGGTAGGATGCACATGGATCTGGGTAAACTGGGGTCCCATCGAACGTTTTCCCTGTGTACTGTGCAAGGTATTATCCACATAGCAACATGAAATCTTAAATTGATATTCGGACATCTCAAATTCATATTGTGACAACCTAAATTGATATTAGAACATCTTAAACTGATGGTATAGCCCAACACACAAACCATTGTGATTCTCGGTAGTAAGCTTGACGGTTATCTGCAGGAATGATTTGGAATGTTTGCGTATTCCTTCCGACTGAAGTAAAAAGATCTCATGCTGAAAGTGTTTGTTGATGACGAATTGGAAGGGTCGGAGTTAAACTATGCAATACTTGTTCCAGGAATAGCATAAAACTTGCGACGGAATAACCTACCAAGCTTATTTTTTATGAGGTTTAAAAAAACTGATACAATCTATTCTGGTTTCCTCCAAGCAACCTGAGGTGGACGCGTGGGCGATATCTGAAATTAGATCTCTAGACGTCCACTACTACTACTATTACTATTGTGATTGGCACAAGTGTTTTTTTAATTGTCACACGAAGGTTCTTTGTTTGTCCTTTCTGGTGTCATTGGAAAGACTGGTTGACATTTCGGTTCGAACAGTGCCCAAAGTAGGTTTGTATCATGACCGTCCTTCTATTGGGGTGTTGTTTCAACCTGTGAAACAGCGGATGTGACACTGTGCACACACACAGGCACGCACACATGTTCATCGATTTCACTTTGGGTGTGCGTGCAATGAGCGATAGTGTGGTGCACCCACACGATGGATCATCGATAACCAACAAGGCTGTTAATGCAACCGAGAGACAGTGACAATTGCTGTACAACTCTTCCCAAGTAGAAAATGAAATTCATTAAGTTCCGTGGTCTGGGATGAATTTTAGATCGCTCCTCCTTCTGTTTTCTCCTCACATAAGATTACTTCTTGTGCTAAGGATGATTGTCGAGCGAACGGAAATTGGCTCTCTTAGCGCAGTGTGACATTTTAAGATTTAAGGTTGATCTAATATTGAAGCACAAATCTTAGCTGTTCGAATGAGAAACGGGAATTTCAGACTAAGGATTCAATCGTTATCCGTCAGATGATTGACAACCCTCAAAGGTTCACATTAAAAAATAAAAACAGAGTAGATAAAAGTTCCACTTCAACGATCCAACCACATCTGCAACAATAACCGGTGAACAAAAGTAATAATTAGACAGTTCGTGGATAACAATTGTCAATGAACGTGTACTTGGGAAAAACGACATGTAAACTGATAAGATCCTTGTGTAAGTAAAGGTAGCCCAAAGAATTACATTACAGATTCTGGAAGTCTCTAGCGATTTCGTTATCGATATGAGCCACTGATACCCGCACAATGATACCCACAAAACACAACAATCTTCTTTTTTTTCACCTCAGCTCAGCTACTCGATAAATCAATCAATGAATCACGTGAAAAAACACTGTCTGACCTACTTACTGGCAGCTTTTGCTTACAATCAAATGTAACAGCTTAAAATTGAGCCATTCAAAAACATGGGCTTGACTACATTCCTTGTTTGCTGATCCTTCCTTGACACGACTACAGCTGTTGAAATTCCGAAGAAAATGATTTCACAGGACATTTGGGATACCACATCATTTTTACACTTGAAGCTGTCAATGTCTTCTACTACAAGCCATTACCATCATCAACTACATCAGGTATTTTTGCTTTCAAAAGCTCTTCAATAATGGCTCATGCTGGGACCCCAAATCAGTCCGACTGTTTTGAATGGCGAAGTTCTTTGTTTTATTTGATTTCACGTAAATCTTTACATGTTGGCCCTAATTCATAAAAAGCGAATAAAACGTGCCAGTTTGACTCCGCTATCAATGATTACCATTTCAGACATGAAAAGTTAGGCGAATGGTAGTCATGCATGTATTAATAGGTTGATTCGATTAAAAAATGAATTACTCTGCAAGGAAATGACTTGCGCAATACATTTTGGTAGTCGGGAAAATTGTTCATTTCCCAACGAGGCGAGCAAACTTCTGTCTTTTCTGTATATGTTGTATTTACTGAACAACATTCTATGTGTTCCATATCAGAATACGTGAGCAACCCGCAAAAAGAGTTTTGACACCATCTTCTTCATTACGTAAGACCATCTGTAGGAACGTCCGTCAATTATTCATTGTTGGATTTATCACCATTCTAATACGAATTTACCCAATATCTGCTATGTGGAACTCATTTCAATCTATAGTTGTTTATTTTCAGTGGAGGACCCTTGAACTCAGTCAAACCGATTTTTCTAAGAGTATAAAATACCTTCATTTGCAATTCCCTCAGATTTTCGGGTCCATACCTTTATCACACAGCTATGTCTTTTGGTACCATCACTAGTTCTTCGCTTGTTAATGCATCTTGATCGAGGTTCTGTTATGCATCCTGCTGATACAAATGATTGATTTTGAACATCACTTAGTCCTATCAACTGCGAAACCATTAACTCATTTTTGTTTAAATGAAACACAATTGAAAATTGTGGTTAAATTGACCGAAAAACAATGATCAACACTTCATCGAACATTATGTAGTTTGGGCCGGCAACAGACCTAATGTAGCGGTACAGCTATGATTAGGTACTCTCGCTAACTGGAAATGAGGAGAGAAAAAACTGTGACCTCCCCTTGGACTAACTATATCACTTGCAGTTATTCGTGTACGTATATATATATACACCTACTTTCAGTGAAATATCAGTGCACACTCAACCAGTTGCCGGCCATCTCGGCAAGCTGATCAATCCAATTTACCAAAGGGTCCTATTTCCAACCGAAAACCGGAAATCCAGCATGCGGTTCCACCCGAAAGAGGCACATCCTCGAACCGTGTCATCGGACAGCAAATGTTGACACACACGCGTTCGGATACCTATCAACTACTCATAAACGGATGTGTTTGACCGACAAGAGTGTTGAAGGCATCAATGTGTGCGCGCTTGCATTCTTCCTGTGAGGAGTGGCGTAAGGGTGAGGGTGGTGGCATTTGCCCGCAAATGACATTCAAATTACCCCCAAATACAAA